CTTGTGAAGGCCAAACTCCATAGCTCTTGAATGATGAAAATGAGCTTCAATCCTTGTGAAAATGGAAGGGATGGAACGAAAATGAAGAAGGAGAAGAATGGTATGAGTTTTGTGGAGGTTTGGTGGCTAAAAATGGAGGTTAGGGTGCTGGAAAATGAAGAACAAAAGAGAGAAAATGAAGAACACTATGAACAAGAGAAGAGAATGTGGAAGATGAATGAGATATGTGTTGGATCCCATTTGGACTTAAAATGGCGTGCTCCTTGGTGTCTCCCATCAGCTGAAGCTTAATTAAAATAAGGAAAAAGAAATTAAAATGTAAATGGGAGCCTTGTCACACTTGCAAGGTGGCAACTTCCTATTGGTTTGTAGATGATTCCAATGTGTGCCTAATTTCCCATGTGTCATCCACATCATTTTAGCTGATCTAATCCCTCAAAATAATCATAATTCACGTGCAAACCATCAGCCATTGTCCTCAAGGAGTGTTGACCTCAATTGCCCAATTGATGCACAAGTCACATGCCACCTATGTTCACATAAATCACATAATTCAATTAAATAGCATATGATATAATAAAATCTAATTCATGTCCAGAATTAAATTCATAATTAGAAGGGAGAATTTATTAAATTAACCAAGTTTTAGGCTGCACAAAATTATATAAAAATTTTCACACAAAGGCAAACCAAAAACTAGGACAAACTAAGACACTTAAGAAAGTGTTGACTTTTTTATTTAATTACTCCCAAACTAAAATGAATTTTAAAAATATAATTTCACCATTCATCAACTGGACATAAAATGCACTTTGTCAATTTTTCTTGTACATTTTCTCAAAAGTTCATTTTTTGGACCAAAATGCCCCTAGTGCACTGATATTAGAAACTTAGGCAAAGTTCCAAATCTAATGCAATGTGTGCACTTGAAGGTGATAAATCATTAATAAAATGGTCCTAATTGACAAATAAAAGTGGGTAACAAATGTGTTCTATCAACTGTTGAAGCATTGGTTCATCATCATGAGAGATTTAGGTTACCTACACACTTACAAGAGCTTGAAATTCCTTTACTAATGAAGGAATTTTATGACTCACCAATTGGAGGCCATTCAGGTTATCTACAAACTTACAAGAGTTTATATAATGTTGTCTTACTAAGAGGGGATGAAAAGGGATATCCAACAATATGGATAGCAATTTGACATGTTCCAAAAGAATAAATATCAAGCTTTGTCTCTAGCTGGACTATTGCAACCATTGCCAATTCCTCGACAAGTTTGGGAGGATATTAGCATGTACATCATTACTGGACTTCCAGAATATAAGAGGTATGATGTCAAATTTATTGTGGTTGTTAGATTTACAAAATATGCTAATTTTTGACTCTAACACACCCCTTTACAGCAAAAAAAAGTTGCTAAAAAATTCATGAACAAAATTGTTAAATTACATGGTTTTACTAAGACTATTGTATCAAACAAAGATAGGGTGTTTGCAAGTTAATTTTGAAGAGTTATTCAAATAGGTAGGAACTCAACTTTGTCTTAGCTTAGCTTACCACCTAAATTTGATGGCTAAAATGAAGTTTTAAATTAGGGTTGAAGACTTATTTGCATTACTTTGTAAATGAGAAACATACATAACGGGTGTGATGGTTTGCCTTGGGTTGTTGGTACAATACCTCTTACTATAGCACTACAGGAATGGTCCTTCTTTTAAAGTACCTTATGGACGAGATCCCCTGCCTTCTTTAAGTTGAATGATGAACCTTTAGGCATAGAGACTATTAATGAGAAAATTTAATCTAGGAACTGCATCATAGCTATTTTAAAGGAAAATCTTGCTTTGACATAAGAGAAAATGAAGAAACAAGCTTACAAGCATAGGTAAGATGTTCAACTAGAAATTGGTAACTTAGTTTATGTCAAAATCAGACCTTATAGATTGAAATCTTTGGCTAAATGACTCAATTAGAAGCTCAGCCCTCATTTCTATTGGCCTTTTAATGTCATAGAAAAGGTTGGAAAAGTTGCATACAAGCTGAAACTTCATCCCACAACTCGCATTCATCCAACTTAAAAAATTTGTGTGTACAGCTATTGTAACCCTTACTATACCTCCAACTCTTTTAATAAAATTTAAGTTATAAGTACAACCTTAAGATATCCACAAGGCTTGAAAATTATGTCTAGCCAATTGGAAGTTATAGTGAAATGAAAGGACTTATCAAAATTTTGAAAATTCATGGGAAAAGGCTGATACCACCTCCAAACATATTTTAGATTTTTCTCTTGAGGAGAAAGTGAAACTCTTAAATGAGGGTATGATGTAAGTATAGGGTATATTAAGACATATGGAAGAAAATTAAAGGGGAAGCAATAAGTAGAAAAAATGTCTAGCAAGTAAGGATTATTATCCGAAGGGTCTAGAAAATGAGGATTAAGTCATATTGTGTTATAGAGCAGCTGTAGATTCAGTTTAGATGTTAGTGTCACCTTTTTGCATACTTTAACATTTCGTTGTTGTTTTGGAAGTATTGTGATACATGGGAATTAGGAATAGTAAGGGTAATTAGAAGAATTAGAGATTAAAGGGTATTTTGGGTATTTAGTTATGTTCTCTATAAATAGGTCTTATGGATGTAATAGGGTCTTAGGAATGAAAATACTATTTCTCTCTATATCTCTTTCCCTTTTACCTCTATCAAAGGTATTAGAGCCTCCTCTTTGGCTATGGCTTTGCTAGAGAGTCAATCTAGTGAACGCACTGGTACCCTCGAACATTGTTTGGAGATATAGTTGGCTTTGCTCTAACGTAACCAACAGACATTAGACTACCATAATCATGATTTCATTGAGATTAATAAGAAAACCATATCTCAGCCTTACCAATAGATGAACGAAATCTTGGCTAAGCTTTTTGTATTGCCAACTAATGCATACACTCTCCTGTGGTTGCTATGGGCCATTAACACACTGCCATATAACCCTCCACCACCTTCTTCGATGATGACGACCTTTACATCTACTATAGTTATTCCTCTTTAGCCTTCAGTCTCAAAAAAAACTATCTTCATAATAGTCACAACTAATATTAGAGAGAATCGAGAGCAGGGGATTATAGAAGTGACGCTGGACTGACTACAAATGAAGAGGAAGACCCATTACAAAAAAAATTAAAGCTCAGTTTATTTTACTATGTTGAACTCATCAGAGTGAGCATTGAAAGGAAAACAGTCCCTATCCCTCCATCGACATTTATTCTGGACCAATACTGAAGTGACAGGATCATTGATGATTCGAAGACCACTATTACTTGACTACATTTGAGGCTTATATCTTGGTCTATAGGACATTTGTGAGACTGACTCAGAACCTAAAACCCATGAGTGGGTTTACTCTATTCAACATGTGTTACAACTTGTCATTATTAAAGTTAGTGAGAATGCCGATGGTGTCATTTCAGTTCAATAGTAAGAAGTTGTTAGCATTATTGATAAAGAACTACTTGATTCTAGTAGACTTGAAAGGGATATTCTACTTTGCCTTTACTCTATCACTGTCGTCTCTATTCATCATTAGACTTAATGCAAGCCCTATATGAACTATTGAGTTCGATCAACTTGATAGCTCTAATGAAGACGTCCTCCACTAACAACAACTTCTTCAGTGTTTCACCCATCTTAGCACTTTATTTGAAAAGCTTTCATTCATTGAGGAGAGGACAGGATGCACTAGACTCTTACTTGCAATACATTACCAAAGATGATTACTCTGTTTGCTTGCTAGATGATTTCTAAATGCAAAGCTAAAGTGACAGAAAAATCAAGGAATTCAAAGGACAACCTAGAGGTGAATCGATTTAAGAAAACACCAATTTTGGGTTAGGTAGGGTTAAAGAAGATGATTCAGGTAAAGCTTTAAGGATTTAAGGTTTTTGTTGGGATTTACTTAATCTTCTCTAGCTATATGCATTTAGGAAGAATTGATCTAGGTCTTTCTAGTGTTTGTTTCATGTGGAAGTAAGCTGGACCCAATCTAAAATGGGCTTTATTATTACAATGTTATTAGACCCTTTGTTGATGAAATTTAGGCTTCTCAAGTATATATGAGCCTAAAAGCTTTTGGGTAGAAGTGGGGTATGAAGGTGGAGCAAGGGTATTATTAAGCTTTAACAATTAGTATCTCACAAGTCTATATGGCTTGCCATAATGGGCTTCTGAATTGAAGGAGTACTACAGCATGCTTGGGCTTTTGATGTCCATTAATTTTGTTTAATTTCCAAATTGTTTTCTATTACAAGTTTTAGCAACATAAGGTCCAAAAAAAAAAGAGTGAGGTCATATTTTAGATATATGTTTTACTTCCCCTCTTTATACTGATCCTTGGGGACAAGGATCTCTTTTAGGGGGAGTATATTGATACATGGGAATTAGGAATAGCAAGGGTAATTAGGGGAATTAGGGATAAAAGGGTAGCTTAACTATTTAGTTATATTCCTTTAAATAAGGTCTTATGGATGTAATGGGGTCTTATGAATTATGAAAATACCATCTCTCTCTCTCTCTATATATATATATATATTTCCTTTCTACCTCTATCACATTGAAAAAATGTTTTAAGAGTTAGATAAAAGTAAGGAGAGTATTGCTCTCTCAAACACTAGTGAGGGATATGTTCTTGTTGCTATTTTCATTTCCTTGTAATCTTGTTTCAATATTAGGGAATGGGGTTTTTACTGAAATAATTGACTTCTTTTTTGTAACATTAATTCAGTTATTCTAAATTAATATCAAAACCTTAGAATTTCTCTTATTTTGTTAGGTCTTACGTGTATATTCTATTTAGGAAGTTATTATATAGAAAGAGCTCTATCATAATACTAAATCAATAGTTACGTTTCATAAGTTTCTAACTATTTCTAAATTTGTTCATGGAAATATGAAAGAGATCTAGAGAGAGATATACTATAATGAAATCAACAACATAAATATTTACCTTTTATCCATGAAACAGGTGCTGTTTAATGACGTGCTAAATGATCTCTGCCAATCAATCATGCTTGTTAACGAAAGATAGAAGGTCACGCTTTCGCATATGAGGCACTTCAATAAGGCCATGAGATAGAAATTTCATATTAGGGCAGTCATCTATGTTCATTTTATCAAGTATTGGGAAATTCAAAGTGGAATGCCCTGTGTAAAAGCATACAAGCCTTGGAAGAGATTCAAAAACAACCAATTTAAGTTTCTCAAACTTCATTTCCATGCAACTACTACCTTCAATTCCATCATCTTCCTCTTGGGCCACTATTTTTCCAATTGAATCACATGTCGAGATGCTTAACGTCCCAAGCTCCTTCAAACTTTGAGCAGTCTTAGTTGTGAATAAATATTCCAATCCATGACATTTTATTACTATCAATCGTCGCAGACAGGTAAAGGATACTGAAGATTGTACTAGCTTTGTCAAGCTAGGGCATCTTTTTACATGTAAGTACTTGAACTTTCTTTGGAGTAGTGAATTCATGCAATAGTGCTCTAACCCTATGTAGTTAAGGCTAGGCAAATCCTCTAACCTCAGTTCTATTAATCTTAACTCATCAAATCCAAGTTTAAGTGTTGGAGAGAATATCTCATAGAGGTCACTACAAGCCACAATAAGGGCAGATATATTAGGTAACTTGTGAAGGATTCCCAGCAGAATCCACTTGGCTCAGTGACATTGTGAAAGCAATGCATTCGAAGGCATTTTATTCCTTTAGAAGCATGTGCAACATTATGAACTAAGATGTCTTCATCTTCCTTAGTGAGCAATAGTTCCTTCTCGTGCTTGATATACTAATTAAGAAGCAAAAGGAAAACATGCATGGGATCAATAATAGGATTGATCATTGGTAATTTAATTTGATTCTTAATGTTTTGGAAAGGCTAAATGATTTGAGTCTATCATTTGACTACATGATAAAGTAAACATGAGACTCTTATTACCAAAAAAAAAAAAGGAAGAACATACTCAAGTATGTCAGTAAGCTAAAACTCATCGTCTAATTAGGATGACTTAAGCATGTATACCCTTTTCTTTTTAAATTGTTTGCTCTTAATTACCATTTCATACTAGGATTAAATATGTGTAAACTGAAAGTTTAAGGCCAAAAATCATTAACTCAGCTTAAGGCATGTTTGTGTAAGTTAATTTTAAAAAAGAAAGCAAAGTGATTTTCAAGTTTTCTGAAAAAGTGTGATGTTAAGTAGCTCAACTCATTATAAAATCTTTAAACAATAAAGGACTTAAAAAGCACTTTTCAAGAAAGTCATTGTTTTAAAAAGCTAATGCAATATAACTTATCAAAATATCCTAAAAACATATTTTCTCCCTCGAAAGTGATTTCAAATATGATGAAATAAAATTTACAAAAATAGCCATCTTTAGCTTAATTAAAATCTTTTTTTCAAGACTTAAACACTCAGCCCTTAATTGCAAACTTTAGGGAAGGGTGTAACCCCTACAAAAAGGAGAAAACATAATATATATGTGAGAATGGTGAAAATAACCTGTTTCTTTGTGGGTAAGGATTGATAATCATTTGAAGTACTGATTTCATCCTTAGTTCCATTGTAGCTTTGGGATGTTAATGTGAATATCTGCGACTTATTGAACTCACCACAATGATAAACACTTAGAATCATTAATTTAGGGCATAGTAGTTTCATTCTGCCAAAGCAAACATACTTTAGCTTAGGCAAAATGCCAAGGGTCAATTTGGTTAAATTTGGCAACACAAACTCTTCAGTACCTCCTTCTTCAGATGCTTTATGCTTTCCAACAATTTCCACAAGTGCCCCACAATTTTTTATTCCAAGAGTTTCAAGATTTCTTGTGAGAGAAGCTAATGGAAATAGAATTTACAAGCAATCACAATCAGTGACATACACAGATTGAAGATTTTCAAAGCACAAAATCCCTTGAGGATTCTCATTCCATATATGCTTCATATTTGGAAGCTTGTCTAAAGTCAATTGAAGATTTTTCCATTTGGGTTCTAGCTTTGTCTTGGCAATTTTCACATCAAATATGGCCACCACTGAGTTGCAACTTCGAACTTTCAATTCTTTCAAGTTCTCCAAGTAAGGAAGCAAATTTGCCGGAATTACAATTGATAAAAATTCACAATTCTTGACCACTAAGGATTTCAAATTTTGAAAGCTCTTGTCCAGTAGCTGATTTTCCCTACTAGACCACAATTTCTTAATCTCAGGATACTTGGATAGTTCCAAAGATTGTACCTATAAAATTAAAATAAAAAGTGAAAAATAAAAGCAAGAGGGAAGTGAGGTGTCTAATATAGATATTTAATTTTTCATCACCAATGTTCTCAAAATTTGAATGGTAGTAGTAGAATTTTGCCATGCCATGCATGTTTCCTCTAGCCATTCTATATGTGAACTTTTCAGAGGATAAAAGAGCTAATTTACTTTAATAAAATCATTAAGATTAGAGTGATATGTAAAGTAAATTGGATAATATAAAAATTAATACGCACCGAAAGGATAAACATTTTTAGTATTGTAGCATTCAAGTCCCCTTTCCAATAGCAGTTCTTCTCTTCTTCTTCTCCTCCTCCTCCTCCCTTAAGCACTTGTAAATTTGGTGCAGTCGTTGTGACTTGCTTACAAAATTTTGCCATATTTGGGCAATCTTTCACTATCAATTTCTCAAGTGATGGGAACTTAAAGGCATGGATGCTGTAGAAACTAGAGAGTTGTGGTAGACTCATTAGTTCTAAAGTGATCAATTTGCTAAAATAAACAATCTTGCGATTGCCTTTTGTTTCTCCTTCTTCATCATTCTGTTATGCTACAATTTCCTCTAGACTCTCACATTCAATTACCTTTAAAGATATAAGTTGGACCATGCTTTTTGCTGTTGAAAATCCCATCAAGCTTTCCAATCCTCTGCATTTACGTACTTCAAGAGATGTCAAGTGACTGAGAGTCACTGAGGATGGAGCTAAATTGATCAATGTATGACATTCTATGATATTCAAATTCTCTAAACATTGGAGAACTAGATCTATTTCAAATCCTATATCCTTAAGATAAGTCAGATAGTGCAGCCTCAAGGATTTAAGCTGGACAATAGTACCAATGTTTTCTTGTGTCTCAAGGTTTACACTTAATTCTTCCATGTCACAGTCATGCAATGTGAGCCTTTCAACACAAGGCATTCTGTTGAGAAACTGATAGAGAATATCAGCTGAAGAACATGAAACCAATGCAAATTCTTTCATATGGTTCATACGATAACTTTTGAAGTGATTTAGTAGCCTCTTCGCTTCATCCTCGCTTATTGCCATATATTCTAAGTTAGAGATCATCTACAAATAGGATGAAACATGTACATTATTATTTAATAAAAGGATGCCAAAATGGAAAAAGAAATTGAAGTGAAAAAAAAAGAGTCAAGTACCTCTTCAGGCAAGAAGATTGAGTCTCCTTGTAATTTTATGCGTAATGCTTCCAGATTATCACAACATTTCACTGATAGCTTTTTCAAATTTGGCCACTCTAAACTATATCTCCCCTTACAAAAACTCTTCAGTTCTGGGAGGTAATCCATTGCCATATAGGTTAGTTTAAGAAACTTAAATGGAATACCGTTTTGACTTGATTCATCATTCCATGGATTGCCTACAATTACTTGGATACAAGCACAATCAAAAACAGTGAGGGAATCCAATTGTTGAAGATCTTTAGCTATTGAAACTGGAAATAAGTATTTCAACTCATCACATTTAATAACCTCGATATTATGCAACCTCTTGAAATTCAAGTTATCACATTTATTAGGGTCTATCTTCCATACAAACTGAAGCTCTTCAAGATGCTGTATTTGAAGAACCTTCAAGCAAGATTCATATTTAACAGATTCTGCTATGCCTTGCAAATCAAAGATGACTTGGAGCTTATTACAATGGACAATCTTCAAGCTCTCTAGCCTATCATATCTTAACGCCATGTGTTTAGGAAAAACTTCTTTAAGCACTTTGTATTGCTCAAGAAACACAGAATTTAGACGAGGAAAGGAATCTCAACTAACTTCTTTAGACCATATACTCTTTAAATTGTCCATCTCGGTAAGATGGATTTCCTCTAACATAAGAAATACAGGAACTTTCTGAGGTATAAATTAAGCATATCAGAAAATAAATTTAATATCTTAATGGCTAATAATCTATCAAATTTATAAAAGAAAACCTCAAGCATAAAAAATACAATTGATTGTGGCCTATATACTTACCCCTGCTTCATTTTCAAATATTCCCTCCATCTTCTTACATCCACATACAGACATGCTTTTGAGATTTTGCAAACTAGTAGTCATGGAAGATGATAATAAATATTTTATTTCCTTGCAATTTTTAACATTCAGTTTCATTAACTTGTCAAAGGGTTTTGACCTGCTGGAGTTACATATCCTGTGTATGTTGATTGTAGATAGCTTTAAGCTCTCTAAGTTGGGAACTTCATCCTGCATTACCAGTAATTATACTATAGTCAATTGTGTGAGTTTAAAAAGGTAATCAAAGTTGAAGCAATGTCACAGATATAACTGATCATTAAATGTGATGAGCTTTAAAATGTAGAAAAATTTATCAAGAAATAAGCATGTATGCGCTATATTCCAAAGTTAAAAGTAATACAGATAATATATCAATGACTTTTCAAAGCAAAATATCTATCAAAATAAATAGTCGAATATAAATATACCTCTTTATTGAAAAGATATATCTCATTACTTCCACTTCCAGCCTCATCATCGAAGTAGACTCCAAAAAATTTTAACAAATTTTGCAGTGCCAAAGAGCATAATTTGGGGAATTTTACATTAACATCACCCCCAAATTTTTGTTTCTTATGCACAATATTCTTCATAGCATCACAATTAGAAACATCAATTGTTTCTAGATTACTGAGGAGCTTAACCATGGAAAAGGAGAAGATACTTTTTAACTTAGCACAACTCTCAATCTTGACAACTTTTAGATTTGAAAATGATGTGCTTGAAAGCATACTAAGTTTATTGGAGATTATTCTCTTCATTTTCTTTGACTCTTTGAGATAAAGTGATTCTAGGTTTGGGAAAGCATCTTCAGGATCTGGCAGTTCATCCTTGAAATTGATTATGTATTTCATGTCTGAATTCTTTACGATGGCCAATTGTTTCAAGCATGGAAATCCTTCCAAATTCAACTCATAAAACATATCTTGAACACCATTCAACTCCCCCAATAACATTTTTTCTACTCCTCTAAACAACATCTTAATACCTTTTCGAGAGTGAATAAGTTTGTTTTCTTTTATCTGTAGTGCCAAAACTCTTGATACTTCATCCTTATCTGAAGAAACGAAATCAAAGATAAAAAATGTTACATTTAATAATAATTAATAAATATTACAAATTAACTTACTTAAAATGTTTATTAAATTAATATTTGATTTAAGTATAATTGATTCCCAAGACATAGTTTCATCCCTACATAAAGACCTGGCATCTTGAATTCTCTCGGAAGAAGTGTCTCAGCATCTCCAATGACAATCTTGTATCTATCTAAGTTTCTAAGGATCAAGTTCTTTGGCCAAACTTTGACACTTGGTATGCATATATCCAGATTTTTCAATTGATACAAGTGCCTTAACTCTGCAAGAATAGCATTTCCACTTTCATTTTCATTGCTCTCCCACCTCACATTATTTCTTATATATAGTTCTTCCAAATTATTCAAACTTGACAACACTTTAGGTGGAATCCTTTTAAGTTTAAAGCAATTACTAATGTCAAGCAATTGCAACTTACATAATTGGCCTAATTTAGATGGTAAATGTTCAAATTTAGATCCTGAAAGGCATAAAATCCTTATTTCTCCAGGTCTACCACAAAGGATATGTCAACTAACATGCATTGCTCTAAACAAAGCATTCTCAAATTTTTCAAGTATTTGATTGAAGTAGGAAACTTTGACAAATCAATGCTAGTCAATATCAATGCTTTGAGTTCCCTCATTCCACTAAAAAATCTTGATGGTATGCTGAACAAAGTATCAAGACTTTCTATATGAAAAATGTTGAGTTTAAGACAACTTACAGAATCTGGAAGCTTATCTTTGATATGATAGTTTTGTATAGATATAGCACTATGCATTTTAAATTCATTTTTATGAGGCCACTCATGTAGCTCTCCTTTTTGCATGGTAAATGAATGCCGCTCCTTTGATGATATTGATAGGGCAACCTCAAGAATCATGTCATGCATGTTGAAGCGATCAATAGAATAACTGTTCAATAACAAACTTGAGTCTTTAAGCTTTTCGATCAATTTGAATACTCTTGCACGAGCTTCCTTAATCGTGAGGAACATTTCAAATATGCCCAAACCAATGTAGTACTTCACCAGGTCCATAATTTGGGGATGATGACCCAATTGAGCACACAGCAAGAAAGTAGACTTGAGCTTTTCATTCTCTAGATGATGAAAGCTTAATTTTGTTGAGAACTCCACGGATTCAGCCACCTCAGTAAATTCTTTCCTTTCAAGCTGTCCAAGTGTGTCCTTCCACTCCAAGTAGTTCTTGTTTCTCAGTGTCCTTCCAATTGTGACAACTGCTATGGGTAACCCACCACACTTGTTAGAAATTTTTGTTGCTAGTGGTCCAAACTTGAGACTTTTATTAGCAACTCTAGCCACCTTTCTCAGCAACTTCTCTGCCTCCTCATCCTGCAAGCCTTCTATGAGGAAATTTGAGTTTTCTTTCACATCCATTTTATCTGACAACACCTTTTTACTTCTTGAAGTCAGTAAAACTTTGAACATTTTTACCACTTCCTTCTTTTTTGGGACACCACTACCACTTGTGGCTTTATCACTCACTGATTTGTTTGCTGTTTGTTCATTCATAACCCTATTACCTGCTATAGAGTTTGTTTTCTTAAAATTATCTTTAGTAGAATTTGACCTTGGAATGATATCATCTACAGGTATCCCCAACATGTTCAAATCCAATTCAGCCCATAAATCATCAAGGATCACAAGAGTATTCCTCTTTTCCATCTTAAAGATATATCTTAAACGACTTGCTCTTCCAATCTCAGTTTCGTCATCTAATCTCGTACCCAATTGATCAGCTAGTTGGCCTTGAATTTTCCTTATATCTGGGTTTCTTGTCACACTCGCAAAGACAACCACATCAAACAGACTATCATCTCGAGCATCCCTAACCGCCTTCCAAACCAAAGTGGTTTTACCAATCCCTCCCAATCCATAAATCCCAATCATACTATTGGTAGAATCTCTCAACACCTTTGTAATTTTGTCCGTGACCACATTTCTCGAGTCAAAGCTTTCAAAATCAACTTCTAAGAAAATGAAATCTATCGCTATGGGACGCAACCCAGAAGTAAGTCCATCAGAGAAGGAAGCTTTGGTAAGAGTATTGTCCACTTTCCTTGCCAAGCTATAAGCTGTTCTACCTAAACGATGCCTTATTCCAGGTTTAGGTAAAGTCAAAATGCCTTCTTTGAATGAACACACTGCACGTAAGCGATCTTTGTCGTTCAAGAACTCGTCATTTTTAGTGAGTAAGTCTTCCACTTCTTCCAACCATTTTGAAACATTCTCTGCGATATCCTTGCCATGTCGTATTTCATCTTCAATGCGACGTTGTACTGTCTCTTTTCTACCCCGCAGGACCTGGATTGAATTCTTTAGCTTCTCTGCTTCATATTCATACTGGAAAAAGCTCACAAATTGTTCCTCTAATATTTGCTTGAGATGCTCTTTTGCTTTCTCTTGTAAAGAAGAAGATAGTTCCTTTATAATGAGGGTAACAAACTCCATATTCATTCCACTCCCTCAAAAGCAAAAAAAAAAAAATTAAAATGGAGTTCTAACGTGTAAATACCAACATTTTAAAAAAGTAGACGGAATGATAAACTAATTGAAAAGTGAATTTGAAAAGTGAGATATTATTTAACTATACTACCTCAAGTTTAATCTTTTAATCTTTTATTTAAAAAATAGTTAATACATTAAAAATATAATTATCATTTAAATAATAATAATAATTAGATATCAAATTTTCAATATTATAAATTGAATAAGTAAACATGCTAATTTTTAACATTAATGTATAATAAAAATTACAAATCTTTATCATATTTTTTTAAAATTACAAATTAAAAAAGTACAAATAATTAGAGATCAAGTTTTTAGCATTATAGATCAAATTTTATGTTATTTAAAATCTTTATCACATTTTTTAAATATTTTAAATATATTACATTTGTATAATAAAAATTATAAATAATCATCAATTAATATCTTTTTTAGTAATTGTACATTCATAAGCACATTTTACTATCATAATCCAAACAACTTTCAGTTTACTAAACTGACTTTTAAAAAAATATATTCAAACACAAATTTCGTTATAACAATTGATTTTCACTAAACTGACTTTTGTTAAATGAGCTTTTAGTAAATGAACTTTTGACAAATTGAAAATCAAACACACACTAAATCGGTCAATTACTTCTTAAAGTGATTTTTTTAGATTTATAAATACTACATATTTTATTAGTGTTAAGTAGTACTTCTCTTAAAAATAAAATATTTTAGAGATATATACAAAAAAATTAATTAATTTATAGTTTCCGTAAATTTTATAATCAAAATAAAATTTTATAGTATATAACTCTAAAATAAATTAAATATAAATATAATTATTTAAAATAAAAAATTATAAAATTATTTTTTATTAATTGCACTCATTTTTTTGATAGAATTTAATTGAACTTAATTACATCAAACTTGAATGTTGAATAACAAAATTTTACAAATATGAAAAGGATAAGTAGAAAAAAATTCATGTCTATATTGAAATTGAAATTATTCATTTCGCAACAAAAATATTTAAATTTTATACATTAAATTAAAGAAAAATTTTATATGGTCCCAATTAATAATAAGGAACTTATTTCTAATTAAATTCTAAAAATTTGTGGCAAAGCTTTCAAGTCCTATGAAACTTAGTTATAATTAATTTATCATATGAAATATCACAAATAACCTTAGATTTACATCCATTTGACTAGAGTTGACTGACATTGACCGACCACTAGCTGGCATTAACTGGTCAAAAATGATTTTTTTGATATTATTTTTTAAAAAAACATTAATATTTTAATATTTGTAAATGAAATATAATAGATTAATGAGTAAATTAAATTTTCAATATTTACAAGTGAAACATCTTGCATAAACAAGCCAACCTCTTTCAGGATAAATGCTTTAATATATGCAAATTAAATTCCCAAATTTACAAGTTAAAATTTTTAAATTTAAAAGTAATTCTTCAAAAAAGAAATTAAAGCATTAATATTTATAATTCAATCTTTTAAATTTACATGTCAACTTCATAGATTTACAAATGAACTTACATAATTTTTGCATTGGTTCTTTAAATTTTACAAATTGATTTACAAAATTTTCAAATCATTCTATGAAATTTCTAGTATAAACATTTTTCACTTTATTAAGTTCAAATTTCTATATTTGGCATACGAATTTAAAAGGATGTCTTATAATTGAAAAAATTGACTTGTATTATAAATTTTGAAGAACCATTATAATAATTATGTAAATTTATGTTTAAATCTTCCGAGTTCACATGTAAGTTTAAGATATTGAATGGTAAGAATAAAGTATTAATTTTTTTAAAAAAATTTACTTCTAAATTTAAGATGTTTCACTTATAGTTGTAAATATTAACTTATTAATTGAGAAAATTACATATAAATCTCATATATATAAAATAAAAAAACTTATTTATAGAGAAGTCCCATTTGGCTAATATCCATGGAACTTAGTTGTATATAATTTCCTTATAAAAAGACTCAAATATCCTTGAACTCATCTCCCTTTGACTAACACCGATGGCCAAGGTTCGTTGCCTGATCAGATTTATTTAAAAAATTATTTTTATTGAAATATTAACATTTTAATATTTATTAGTCAAATATCACAAATTTACAATTAAATTTTCAAGATTTATCACTCAAACTTCTTATATTTACAAATCAAACTCTTACAATATTAATATTTAATATTTACACGTCAAACTCAGCAAATTTACCAATCAATTATCTTAAATTTACAAGTAAATAACTAAAAAACCCTATAAGTCAACTCATAAATTTACAAATGAATTTACATAATTTTTGGATTTGTTCTTCAAATCTTAAAACATTTATTTGCAAAATTTTCAAAATCATCCTATTAAATTTACGAGTAGGCAAAGTGTTCTTTATCTTATTAAGTTATAAATTTTTTAAGTTTATCTTTCAAATTGAAAACGATGCCATATAAATTTAAAAAGTTGGCTTGTAATTTGTAAATCAATTTGAAAAATTTTAAAAAATCATTTTACAAAAATTATGTAAGTTCACTAGTAAATCTACTATCTTAATTTAAGGGATTGACTTGTAAATATTAAAGTATTATCATTTTTAAAAATTTACTCATAAATTTAAGATACTTGACTTGTAAATTTGTGAAGTTTGATTTGTAGATATTAAATTATGAATATTGTAAATAGTTGACTTATAAATGTAAGAAGTTTGAGTTGTAAATCTTGAAGAGTTATTTTTAAATTTGTAATTTTTGACTTGTAAATATTAAAGAGAAAACACAATATTAATTCATATAGTTTTATCGCGCTTTGTTATTGACCCCTATACTTTATTTTTATTGCTCTAGGCTCCTATAGTTTCTCTTGTCTACAATGTTTGTCTATCTATTTTCAAATATGCTCAGTGGAGTGACAATTTAGTGCTAATAATGTTAAATTACCTTACATGTAGCTAATGGCATTAAATCTTATGCTAAATGTTAAAATAAGAAAGAAAAAGAAAGAGTAATCACAAAATACCATCATATACTTGATTGAAAAGTTCATGGGACTAATAACTGGATCAAACTATATAACAATTATTTGTAAATAATCATTATATAGATGCCAACTATGTAATGGTTAAAAATCTATATATAGTTTTATTAGAAAATATAGTGCTAACATATATAATGGTTAAAAATTATTATATATTAGCAAAAATAACAATTATATAGAGGCTATTTTTTAATAGTAAAAAAATAACAATCAATGGCTTCAAAATAAGGAAAAAAAATAAAACAAAGTATCTTGATGCAGCAAATGAAAACAAAACAGAGACGAAGAGACAAGTTCAAAGTCAGTAAAAATGAATAAAATAGAATATAACATTCATTTGACATGCAGTGAAATGATGTTAATTGCATGCTAGATAAATTAACATTGTTGGTGCCACATCATCATCCTCTGAGCATATTAAAAAATAGAGGAACTAATATTACAAATGAAAAAAAAAATTATAGAGAGGCCTAAAGCAAAAGAAAAAAAGTACAAGGACTAATAATAAAATACATTAAAATTATAAGGGCCAATAATTATATTTTTTAAAATATTAAAATATAATTAATATGATTGCTTTTAATAAGAGGATAAATGTGAGCAATCCAAAAAATAATAATAATTGTTTAAATAAAAAATATTTGTTTCAAAACAAATTGGGCGGTTAACGGTATCCAATCAATGCCTGTTATTAATCGATCGATGTTAGTTAAAGGGAGTAAGTTTAAGGGAATATTTGGATTTTTTACGAGGAAAACTAATTATAACCAAGTTTCATAACATTTAAGAATATTTTCACAAATTCATAAAACTTAGTCATAATAAATTTTTTATGTGACACATATATGTAATTTTCCCTTTATATTATGAATTATTAACAAGCCTCCAGGTGTGTAAATTACAATGTTATCCAAACTGCAAGACATCGGTCTTGGGTTTGAGTTCTATTTTTATTGTACATTAGCATTGGAGTAATTGAGAAAATTGTGATAAAAAAATTAAATGACATATCTTATAAATAAAACTAAAAAAAATCCTTCTATTTATTTTATAAAATAGATAAGGGGGAGTATAACTTAAATCTCAATGGCCTCTTTTACCCGGAAACATCTTCAGCGCTCATCCTTTATGAGCACCATTGCTTATCACTCCTAATGAGATCTAGACTGTCCATATTAAATATGAAGAGTCTAGATTTAAAGCTTTTAATTATATTTTTTATTTATATTATTAAAATAAAATTTATGAAGTTTGTAAAATTTTTTAATAAATCTGCTTATCACTAATTTGGATAATGCTAATTTAATTTGGATAGTTCAAATGTAATATTAAATTTTTTTACAATTTTTATAAATTGAATATCCATATTTACTTTGGATGGTTTAGACTTAAAATTTTTAACTTATAATTTTTTTAAAAAAGATTTTTTTGAAAGTGACCAGTGAGAAATTATCTTTATTTTTAATATTATATTTACTAAATTAAAAATTTTAAATATTTTAAATATTAAATTAGACCATCTATATGAATATATTTATTTAAAATTTATTTAATAGACATACAAAGATTATAAATTAAAAGCTTTAAATCTAGATTTTTCAGGTTAAATCTGGATAGCCCAATCTCATCATGGCAATAAACAACATAATACCCATGGCCTAGATTAGCACCCAAGTTGGACCTTTTATCCTCAACTCTCTCTCTCTCACACATCATTGTTGACACTCCCATTCGCTCTCCCACCTCCATCTCAATATACTTGAGTTGGATTATGAAACAACCTCTTCTTAGAACTAACTTTACCGTATCAAAACAAGAGCTAGCTTCAATGCTCATCATATAAATAAATATTAAGAGCTCATTATTTTTAAACCGGTCAAATTTAATTTTTATGGCCTTGATTTATAATTTTTCAACGAGTGATTTTTAAATAAAAAATTATTTTTAAAAAAATTAACAATTAAGAGATTTTTTTTATTTTAAATTTTATATGCATTAAAATATTTTTTTAAAAAAAATAAAAGTAAAAAGCTGTAAATTTGGACTATCCAAATTAGATCTGAATGATCTACAATAGTTGAGCTCTCAGTGCTCATCTATAACCTATCAAACCCATGAAAATGATTATTACTGATATAACATTAAACCTTACCCAAAAATAGTTTTCAACTAAATCCAAAAACTTCTCAGATCGAGCCATGGTTGACAGACGGGTGATATAACTATGAGACTTACATATACGTCTTTGAAAAAAAAATAAAAATAAAAAGAATAAAAATAAATCGGTTCGCTCTGAGCTGGGGGAGAGAAAGTGGGTTTAGTATTGTTTGAGTTGTGAGTTAGAGGGAATTAGAAGTTCAGTACACATAGATCAAATATATATGGCTTACTGGTTTATCCATTTATATGAAGCGGCTTGAGTACTGTTTGCTACATGCTGCAGAGCTTCTTCGGCGAACCAGACGAATGATTCAGAAATTTCTCTGGCAACAATTACAGGGATCATCGATCATTAATAGATAAGCAAAGAGATCTAATCTAAAGAACAAGGAAACAAATTAACCAATTTATCTGGGAGACACAACCTACCAAAGTGCGATTTGCCTTGTGATGAGATTCATCTCCGCTTTGATGTAGTGCCCGTGAACGATATGACTTCTGAAGGAGATGAAATTTATGACAATCAATAAGTTGACTTTATTTAATGCTTGCCAACGTTTTCATGATTTTTAATTCTAGGCTCAAAACTAATATATTCGTAACATCAATAATTTAAATTTTAATCCATGCTAGGAAGTATCGAGATCTGAATCTATCTGTCACGTGAAGACAGACACTAGAGTACAAAAATGTAAGAAAAATATAATTAGATATATTTTATTAAATAAAATAAAATGTATCATATGTGTGCACGGCATAAAAAATCATATCGCCAAGACGCTTGCCGATTTGTAAAGTTATTAAAAAACTGAAAGTTTTTTCCAATATATATATATATATATTGTATTGCTTAGCGCGTTACACTATTCATGACCTAGCTAATATGCGACGCTTTCAAAGTTTTATTATATATTGATGATATATTACGGGTAATCTACGTTCTTTTTGTGGGTTAACAGATATTTTTACTCTTAAATTATTTAAATTATTTTTTGAAGAATGCCCAATATCTTAAATATTTTATTATGAAAAATTTTTCTTGAGGTTAAATATGTAACATTGACCATTAAGTTAGATGAGAGAGAAAGGAATTTGAGTAAGAATTGCAAGGTGGCATGCTAGAAGGATCTTTGTTGGAGTCTAGAATACACAAGCTCAAAAATTCATTCACCTCGCTCTTGTCATCTTACCTTCATCTTGGCTTCCTTTCAACACTATCACCGATTCCCATAGTGACCGACAATCACCGTCGTCGCTTCGTAGGTCTGCTTCAAGCACACCGCCAAAATCTCAAAAGCCAAAGTCTATTACGATAGCCTGGTCGACCATGTCCATGTATGCTCTACGAAACAAGGTCAATTCGATGGCAAACAGATTGAAGGAGTGGAAGCTCCAAAACCATGTTAATTGCTCTGCTAATTGCTAATGTGCTGCACTAGGGAGGGTTGGAATACTAGGATCAACGTTGGACACCACAGGGCATTTGTAGGTCAAATTTCTTACTCCCTTACCCAGTTAACGGTCAACGTGTGAGTTTTTAACATTGGGCAAAAATTTCTACTTTCACTATTATAAAAATAGAATTTAATAGCATATATTTTATAGCAATTAAAAATGAAACGCTATTAAAATGAAAGCTGAAATGTATTAATGAAACACCACCGCTTATCAATTATTTTTTATTTATAATTTTTTTAAAATAACAAGAGGTGGCGTTTCTTTTATGAAATGCCACAACTTGTTATCAATAAACAATTTTGTGGCATTTCAAAATGAAACGTCACCTAATAGTTATGATGATTACAAAAAATAATTTTATTTATTATGATAATTAAAATTATTGTTACTACACTTATTAAAACAATTATTATAATAATTCTTGAAATATTATTATTAATTTTAGAACATATTATAATATAAATTAAGTAGTTACTTAATAATCATTATTAATATATCATAACAATTTAAAACTAAAAATATAAAATTACAAATATATTTTTTCAACATTTATTTCATAATAAATACAATATTTAAAAAATAATTTATTTAACTAATCTTAGGCAATGATTTCTTCTTAACAAAATGCCACCTAATAAATGAGAGAGGTGGCGTTTTTGAGTAATAGAAACACCACCTCTCCCACATATATTAAATTTTTTATTAATTAACATTATTTTTAAAATATATAGTTATTAAATTTTATTTATTGATTGTAAAATAATAAAAAAAATATTTAAATGAGAGATGTGAGATTTTCAAGTGATGGAAACACTACCTCTTTCTTATATATTAAACTCTTTTTAAAGTAATATTATTTTTAAAATACATATCTAATAATATTTATCAAATATTAAATATTAAATAAATTATTTAAATGACATAGGTGGTATTTTAAAATAATAGAAACGTCACCTCTCTCATATATATTAATTTTTTAATTAATAAATATTATTTTTGAAATATATAGTTACTAAATTTTATTTATTAAATATAAAATAATAAAAAATTATTTAAATAAAAGAGGTAATGTTTTCAGGTGATGAAAATGATACCTGTTTCTTATTGATTAAACTTGTTTTAAATTAATATAATTTTTAAATATATATATATATAAAATAATTTTTGCCAAATATTAAACATTAAAAAAATTATTTAGCTGAGAGAGGTGGCGTTTTTAAGTAATAGAAACGCCACCACTCTCATATATATTAAATTTTTTATTAATTAATAATATTATTAAAATATATAATTATTAACTTTTATTTATTAAATATAAAATAATAAAAAATTATTTAATTGATAAAGTTTTGTCTTATAGATTAAAGTCTTTTGAGTTAATCATTTAAATAATTTATTTAATATTTAATATTTGATAAACATTATTACATATGTATTTTAAAAATAATATTAATTTAAAAAGAATTTAATATATCAGAGAGAGGTGGCGTTTCCAAATAATAGAAACGCCACCTCTCTCATATGTATTAAATTTTTTATTAATTTATTTATTTTTAAAATACATAGTTATTGGAAACGCCACCTCTTTCTTATATATTAAATTTTTTATTAATTTATTTATTTTTAAAATATATAGTTATTAAATTTTATTTATTAATTGTAAAATAATAATAAAATATTTAAATAAGAGAAGTAACATTTTCAGATAATAGAAACATGACTTCTCTTTTATAGATTAAACTTTTTTTAAATTAATATTATTTTTAAAATATATATCTATATATAAAATAATGTTTACCAAATATTAGATATTAAATAAATTATTTAAATGAGAGAGATGGCCTTTTCGGAGTAATAGAAATGCCACCTCTCTCACATATATTAAATTTTTTATTAATTAATATTATTTTAAAAATATATAGTTATTAAATTTTACTTAGTGATTGTAAAATAATAAAAAATATTTAAATGAGAGATGTTAGGTTTTTAGGTGATGAAAACACCACCTCTCTCTTATAGATTAAATTCTTTTTAAATTAGTATTATTTTTAAAAAAATATATATATAAAATAATGTTTACAAATATTAAATATTAGATAAATTATTTAAACAATAGAGGTGGCATTTCTAGTAATAGAAATGCCACCTCTCTCACATATATTAAATTTTTTATTAATTATCATTATTTTTAAAATATATAGTTATTAAATTTTATTTAGTGATTGTAAAATGATAATAAAATATTTAAATGAGAGATGCGAGGTTTTCATGTGATGGAAACACCACCTCTCTCTTATAGATTAAATTTTTTTAAATTAGTATTATTTTTAAAATACATGTATAAAATAATGTTTACAAATATTAAATATTAAATAAATTATTTAAATGTGAGAGGTGGCATTTTTGAGTAATAGAAATGACACCTCTCTCACAAATATTAAATTTTTTATCAATTAACATTATTTTTAAAATATATAGTCATTAAATTTTATTTATTGAATGTAAAAAAATAAAAAAATATTTAAATGAGAGAGGTGAGGTTTTCAGGTGATGGAAACACCACCTCTCTCTTATAGATTAAACTCTTTTTAAATTAGTATTATTTTTAAAATATATATAAAATATTGTTTACAAATATTAAATATTAAATAAATTATTTAAATGAGAGAGGTGGCATTTTTGAATAATAGAAACGCCACCTCTCTCACATATATTAAATTTTTTATTAATTATCATTATTTTTAAAATATATAGTTATTAAATTTTATTTATTGATTGTGAAATAATAAAAAAAATTAAATGAGAGATGTGAGATTTTTAGGTGATGGAAACACCACCTCTTTCTTATATATTAAACTCTTTTTAAAATAATATTATTTTTAAAATACATATATAATAATATTTATTAAATATTAAATATTAAATAAATTATTTAAATGAGATAGGCGGCGTTTGCAAATAATAGAAATGCCACCTCTCTTATATATATTATTTTTCTAATTAATTAATATTATTTTTAAAATATATAGTTATTAAATTTTATTTATTAAATATAAAATACTAAAAAATTATTTGAATAGAAGAGGTAATGCTTTCAGATGATAGAAATGATACCTGTTTTTTATTGATTAAACTTGTTTTAAATTAATAAATTTTTAAATATATATATATATAAACTAATTTTTGCCAATCATTAAACATTAAAAAATTATATAATTGAGAGAGGTGGCGTTTCTAAGTAATAGAAGCGCCACCTCTCTCATATATATTAATTTTTTATTAATTAATAATATTATTAAAATATATAGTTATTAAACTTTATTTATTAAATATAAGATAATAAAAAATTATTTAAATAATAAAGGTTTGTCTTATAGATTAAAATCTTTGAGTTAATATTTTTAAAATATATATTATTAAATATAATTTATTTAATATTAAATATTTAAAATTGTTTAAATGAGAGAGGTGGCGTTTCTAGGTGATGAAAACGCCACCTCTCTCTTCAAAATTATATTTTATTAGTTAGTTTAATTTTTTAAAAAAATTATAGAGTGGTGGAAGAAATGCCACCACTGTGGTTTTTAATTATTTTTAAAAATTAAAGATATTTTTTAACTTTTGTTGAAACTTTCAAACCCTAATTTTTTTCATCTTAGTCATTCTCTATGTCTAGTCGTTTGGTCTTCTCTCTTGCAATCCATAAGTTATCTATTTTCTGATAGCTGAAGGTGCTTTCGTCATCTCCTCTTGCTAAGGTCGCTTGTACGTTTATATTAATAACATGTTCTTTTTTCATTTTTATTACCTCTTATTTACCTATCCACATACACATATATAGGTCTTTATGATTTGCTGTTGTTTATTTTCAATTAATAATTTTTCTTTCCACTATTGAAGGGTTTGTTCTTTTAATTTGCTAATAGACATATCTGTTGGTGAAACAATTCTCTGAGTATAAAGCTTTATTCAGATCTAGAAAATAGATAGTGACATCTTCAATCTTTTTACTTTTAGTGATAAATGGTTTGGTTTTGTCTAGTTTTGAACTTTTAAGAAGGTAATGATGATAATTTTTGTTAATCATTGAGAA